TAATTAACTAATTTTTAAAGTAAGAGTTTATTTTTACATCATTTTGTACATTTTTTTTCTCAACTGTAATCCCCGTGGGTTTCCCATCACCGAGTCACCAGTGTGCCATCACCATAGTCCCATGCACTTCCCGCCCCCCTCCCCAGTTTGATCCCATTCCCCACTCCACCCCCACAAAATGTCTCTGGTATATGGCTGTTCATTATTCTTATTATTTTCTCGCTGGTTCGTTATACGCCTGCTATGAGTGAAACCATTCGGTATTTTTCTTTCTCTTTCTGGCTTATCTCACTAAGCAGGATCTTTTCCAGCTCCATCCAAGTTGCTGCAAAAGACATGTTTCTGTTTTTTGGTTGCTGAGTAATATTCCATTGTATATATGTACCACATCTTTTTAATCCAGTCATCTACTTTTGGGCATTTGGGCTGCTTCCATGTTTTTCCAATTGTAAATAAAGCAGCAATAAACACGGGGGTGCAGGTATCTTTTTCAATCAGTGTTTTTGTGTCTTTTGGGTAGATACCTAGGAGTGGGATTGCTGGGTCGTAGGGAGGCTCCATGTTAAGCAGTTTGAGGAACCTCCAGTTTTCCATAGTGGTTGTACTAGTTTGCATTCCCACCAGCAGTGTAGGAGAGTTCCTTTTTCTCCACATCCTCGCCAACATTTGTTGTTGCTAGTTGTTTGAAGATGTGCCATTCTCACTGGGGTGAGGTGTACCTCATTGTGGTTTTAATTTGCATCTCCCTTATTACGAGTGATGTTGAACATTTTTACATGTTTGTTGGCCATCTGCATTTTCTCTTTGGAGAAGTGTCTTTTTAGCTCTTCTGCCCATATTTTGATGGGTTTGTTTACTTTATTTTTGTTGAGTTTCATCAGTTCTCCGTATATTTTTGTGATCAGTCCTTTATCACTGGTTTTGTGTGAGAAAATGTTTTCCCAATTAGTGGGCTGTCTGTTTTTTGTAATGTCTCTTTTGCTGTACAGAAGCTTTTTAACTTGACGTAGTCCCATCTATTTATCCTTGCCTTCACTATTGTGGCATTGGGTGCTCTGTCTTTAAAGATGTCACGGAAGTATATGTCATGTAGTGTTTGGCCCATATTTGTTTCCAGGTATTTTATGGTTTCTGTTCTTATGTGTAGGTCTTTAATCCATTTCGAGTTGATTTTTGTGACTAGAGTGAGGCAGTGATCTAGTTTCATTTTTTTGCATGAAGCTTCCCAGTTTCCCAGCACCCTAAATAATGCTCTTAATACAGGCAGAGCTGTTGTTCCTAACAAAATGCCTTCAGGGTAATAATTCTATAATCCTTGGCCCCAATCCCAATTTTTCTCCCCTCTGGGAAATAAGCCTAAGAATTTGTTCAGTGTGGGCCCTCCTGTCCCTCTTCTTGGACATGTACCCAAGGGGCTGGGTGAGCCCTAGACCCTGATCCTCCCAGTGGTTCATGGTGATGCCACTAACATGTCCCACCTGTCCTACTCACTGTGAAGATGAGTGCACCCTGAATGCGGATTAGGTTGGCCTTGCAGGCGGCCATAATGGAGAAGTTAGAGGTCCCTGTGGTACCAGCCTTCCTGGGTAGAAATGTTACAGGGCAGCCCAATGTGAACTGGGCTGCCTGTCTGTGGATCTTCACCCATGAGCTTAAGATTCAGTTGTACTGCAGACACACAAAGAAAGGTCAATAATGGGTTTATTTACAAGGGGAAAGGAAAAGGAACAACCCAGGGAAAGAGAGAGAGATACAAGTTAGCTAGTGCATCCTACCATTTCCACTGACTTGGAATCTGGCCAAGAGCCAAGTGACCAGCCGGCAACCACAAGGCCAAGGGAGAGCTTCCACTCAACATGTCTCCTTTATATCTCAAAAGTCTAAAAATGGCTGCTTTGCTCTGCCCTTGGGTGCTCACAGTCCTTTTGGTGTTGCTGGAAGTTGTAGTTTCAGCGACTGGAGTAGGGGGTGGAGTCCACAAAACCTGTATTTGTAGAGTTCGTTCAGGACATCCTTACCCCCAACAGAAACATGTCTGATGTCACCATCTTCCTGTCCACATACGGACCTTCAATTCCCCCCCAACAGGTCCTAGATCAATGAATCACTAGATGAGTGCCCACTCTCTCCTAGGCATAGCATCTCTGTCAACTCCTGCATGTAACTCCAAGTCTTTGAGTCTCTGTTTTCTCCTTTGAAGTGAGGAATTAGAGGATAAACTTCCTAAGGATCTCATCAAGATAATGGGATCAACTACGGCAAGTGTTTACCTGGTGCCTCGTCTGCAGAAAAGGCTGCTGGACATGCTGTGATTGTTCATGTATGTTTTCCTCTCCCCGTCAAAAGCCCTCTGCATTTAGCCTGCAGTATTTATTTAAAATAAATACTTGGAAAGCCACCTGCTTTTAATGTGTACAGGAGAGCTGAGCATCTGTCTAGGTGGCCCTGATACTTGTTCTTGGTGAAGCCAAATGAAGGCTCTCTGGGAGCAAGAGAGGAGCTAGTGAAATGCCACTGTCCCTTCCCTGCCAGTTTTGGGTCTTGTGTGTCATCCCACGCTGGGTGCCCAGTGGACAGAAAGCAAAACCCAGAGTCCTCCACAAGGTTCAGGCCATGTTCTCAGCTTCTTTGCTCCAGTTCTGATCACTGACTCTACTGGGAATATGGGGTCTACAGGTAGACATGGAGGCGTGACGGGGTCCGCCCCAGGAGCTGTGCAGCAAGGTGTGCCCCACAACCCACCAGGGTTCCATAGGGCCTAATGGGACAAAGGGGGCAGTGAGCACCTGGTGCTCACCACCTATGCCACCATCGCCCCTTTCGATATTGTTGTCAATTGCCCTCACCACCTGCCTTGGTAATCTGAGCATGATGGCCTGCAACAAGGCCAGGGTGGTAGAGCACTAGGCCCAGGTAGCCAAGGAAGCACTATGGTTTCTTCCCCCCACTCTCAAGTTATCTGAAGGGGGGGCAGTGATGTATGATGAAGCCTCAGGCCCTGGCGATACCCCCCAACAGCCACCAGCTTCCCATTACAAAAGATTCGTGGTTGCCTTGGCCAGCCTCCAACTCATTTCCTCAGCCCCAGAACAGCAAATAGGACTCTTCCCTACTCCAGCTTGCATCGACACTCTCTGTGGCAGATTCATCACTGCTGACAAAGCAGTTTTGTTCAAACAGTGCTTTTCAAGCCTCCAGAGCTCAAGACTGTGGGTGGAGAGCTTCTCTCAGCATCAGGGTGCACAGTGCAGTGGAGTCTCAGAATTCTGGAAAGCATGGCAACACTAACTCAAATTTACTGCTCATCTCCTAGAACTGGCAATGGCCTAGATTCCTGGAGACACCCTGTTTCCCTGAGCATCAAATTCCAGATCAGGGCCAACAGACGATGATCTCATCACTCCCCAAACCAAAAGACAGACGGAGTCGGAGTCGAACCTGACCCTGTGCGTGACCAATTTAAAGTAGAACAGATTTACACTTTTGAGCTGCTGCCAGCTCTGTTTCCATATTGGACAGTTTGCATACTCTGCCTCCTCAACCAAAGTCTCTCCTCCCCACCCTTGGTCCCTGATCATTTCTGTGTAACTAGTAGATGCACCCCCTCCACTGTCACCCTAAAGGATCCAAACTTAGCATGTAATTCCCAACAGTGAAGGTAAGCAACCCCAAATATTGGGCCACATTGCTGTTCCACAGGGAGAAAAATGCATCTGTCCCCCTAGGAAATGAAGCAGTGTTTCCTAAAATCCACCCTCTGTCTAATTACCAAATGAACAGGCCAGCCCTGAATCTTGACTGACCCATGGGAAGAGTGAAACTCTAAGTAGCTCACTCTGCTTGGGACAGTGGCCATTAGATCCAGTCTCAGGATAATACAATTATTACAAAACAAGATTATGATGATAATTGATAAGATTGGAATAGAGTAAAGTAAAGACATTTTCTCGTTTACTGTGGAAATCTGTCCTCTTCTTTAAATACAGTAAACCTGGTAGGTGATTATGCAGCTTGATACATAAAACACCAGCAGCTTAACTCCATCACCTACTAGTTATTTCAGGTGAAGAGAGCTTTCCAAGTTTCTAGGAAACCTGTGACTTGCTACAGAAAGTTGAAATTTTATCAAATTTATATATTACTTTCTGGATTAAAGAATGAAACATACTTCCTAAAGCCATAGGGAGAAAGCTCCCTGACAATGATCTGGCAATGATTTTTCAGATGTCACCGGGCAACAAAAGCAAATCTAAAATAAGTGGGACAACAAAATAAGCTTTTCTTCATTTTTTGAGGTTATCACCTAAAACCGTTAAAATATTTTTGAGAAACTGGAGCTCATATGAAATGTATCTCTATACCCCAGGGTGTTCTGGTAACCCAGCCAGTTTTTCTGCCTAGTCAAGAGCTCTATTTGCCCCTCCCAGGACTTAGAGATTTCCAGCAAATGCCATATTGTTAGCGTCCTCTTGATTGGTTATGCTAATAAACCTGTTGTAATTATTGCCAATTATAAACTTTAGCAAAAAGGAGGTTTTTCCCTGCAGAGTATATTTACCATTTAAAACATCATTTGAGGGGCCCTCCCTGGTGGCGCAGCGGGTTAAAGCACTGCACTGAGAAGCTAAAGCCACTTCCGCATGAGTTCGATTCCCGCCTGCCCGGGAGGTGACCACATGGCGTGGCAGACCTCTCCTGACCCGCCCACTGCTACCCTCAGCAGTGTACTTCGTCGATCTGCCTGTTCTGCTCCCCACTCTGTCTCTGGTGAAGCCTCTCACCGTCACGAGCCTCTGGCCTGTACCCCAGTTCTGTATGCATAAATAAATAAATCTTTAAAAAAAATAAATAAAAAAATAAATAAAATAAAAAAAAACATCATTTGAACAATTACCTCACTTTCCTGATAGCAATCCCTGTATAATCACTTATAAAACATGATAACTGTAATAAAAACAGAAAACAAACCATTAAAACTGTATACTGAAAATGTCCATTTTATTGCACATTGATTAAAAAAAAATACCTTTTAATGTGATAAGTAGTTAGGGAAGTCTTGACCTGACTAGGAGACCCTGAGTTGATAATTCAGGTGGCTGGTGCTTAGAGGGTAACGGCTCTGGAGTGGGCCTGAGGATTTAAGGAACAGAGGATATCATGAGAAAGTTGTCACTGGGCCCCTCTCGGTGAGATACCCACTGATCTTGTGGCTGTCTGGGGTAATCAAGTGAGAAAGCAGTGAGACAGGAATGCATCTGGCTTGACCAGAGAAGCAGGAGCCAGAGGGCTTGAGAGAGGGAGCATATAGGAAGGGGAGGGGATGAAATAAATACCAAGGTCCAGGGGAACTTACTGAGCCAATGGGGGTGGGGGCCACTGGAGACTTTGAGCAGGAAAGCTATCATATGATTGTGACCTGTCTAAAGTCTTCTGGGAGAAGACAGGAAGCCTAGTTGTGGGGATGACCAGGCAAGAGGTGGTTGGTCCCAACTCCCTATCCCTGGGTCCTTTCCATGCTACGGCATTTAGCACCCGCACAGCAGACTTCAGCAGGCAGTCACTCCCCTCCATCTCCCCAGGCCCATGGCTAGAAGCTGAGAATCAGGGACTGCACAGTACTCACTACCCATGACCTCAGGCTCTCTGACAACTCCATGAAGGCTTCCTCTGCGTGGGGAGGAACCTGAGCCATCTGGCCCAGGTCATACCTAGATAATGCCCCACAGCAGATGGGGTGGCCCACCCAGGCAGACTCAGCTCAGAGCAGGTGCAGGCGCCAGACTCCTGTCCCCCAAACCAGCAGCACACTCAAAAAACAACTCAGTTTGTTCCATGGGCTCATTTCATGACATCTGGGAGTGGGGGTGGATGAGGGAGGAGTCTGTACAGGTGGGGTTCCCACTGGAACGGTGAGGACTTGGGGCAGCAGCATATCTTCTACCTGGAGACATTTGGTGGCCAAGGTTATTCATAGGGTCTGGCTCGCGAATGCCTCCACCTCGAAGAACGGAAGCGAGACCCAGCAGAATCAGGCATTTCTCAGCTCTGGAGGTAGGTACTCAAGGCCCAGGTGTCTGAAGATGTCTTCCTCTGAGGCCACAGGGAACAGGGTCTTCTGCAATTGGAATGAGGATGTTAGTGCCCTGGGGGTTATCCCCACCACTGCCTGGCTTCCTAAGAAAGCCAGGACAGATGGCTAGAAGTGGGCTAGAAGTGGGCCTGGGATTGGGTACCGAAACTCAGATTTGGGCCTTGTGGGTCCCAGACTGGAAGGGGCCAGGAAGCAAGCATTTTCTCTTCCAGCCAGCATACCTCCTCTGGGTCAAACAGCCCATGGCTGTTCAGCCACAGTCCCCTCTCCTTCCGGCTAAAGCGGCGGAGTTCCCGCTCGAAATGCTGCGGAGACAGTGACCTTGTCAGCAAGGCTGGCCGACCCTGAGCTCAGGACCATCCCGCACAGGCAGCCCACTCCCTACCCTGGAGCCAGTCCAGCCAAGCAGAGCAAAGGGGAACTGGCTGATGGGGGCAACCACCAGGTCTACCCGCACAGCCTTCCAGGAGGCGCAGGGCCTCTGGGACCCCTCCACAGCAGGCCCCGGGATTTGTGGCAGGCGGAAAATGCAGAAGCTTCTCTCAAAGGCATCCATGTTGTGCTTCTGCCTGGCCAGCCGGGTGGGGTCTCCGTACTGATTGCGCTGGTAATGGTGGTACAGGATCAGCCCCTGGGGGGAAGAGCAGGTGTGGCCTGGCACAGCGTATGCGCGGTGTGGGAGGGCAGTGCTCTAGGGAGAGGAGGCCCCTCACCTGCTCCTTCAGGCTGAGCAGCACTCTGGCCAGCAGTCCCACCTCCTGCCCCTCCTGGGGGTGGGTGATGAGGAAGTCCACGTCGTGGCCTTGCAACTTCCCCCTGAGGGGGACAGTCTGACTCCAGGACCCAACTCAAAGATGCAGCCTTCGCCATCATCCCAGCGCCTTTGCTGAGGGAAGGCCCACCTCAGGGGCCCCAGCTCGGGCGGCCTCCCTGGGGCGGGCCTGGAGTCAAGCTCCCTCACCTGCGGAAGCCGCCAGTCAGGGTGACAGTGGCCCCTGGAAGGGCCCCACTCACGGCTGCATCCAGGAGCTGCTGCAGGGCCTCCACGTCTGGGCGCTGAACCAGGGTGCTCAGGTCCTGGAGGTGCTGCAGTCCTGTGGCAGTGCGGCTCTCCTGACCCTCAAAGCCCGCCCTCTCTCCAAAGCCCCTTCCTCCCTTCCAAGTATCAGGCCTTTACTTTGAGATCACTGTAGAGTCACATACAGGTGCAATGGTAGAAATCCCGTGCCTCTACTCATCCACAGTGGCAAATTCTTGCAGAACTACCGTAATCAGACCAGGACGCCGACACTCATACACACACTATCCTTTCAGTGCCTTGGTTTCCCCAACTATAAAGGGGAGCCTGGAGGTGACAGGCGGCATGAAGCTGATGGTCACAGAGGAACACCTCACTTCAGCGCGTGTCAGAGAGGAGTCACTGTCCTTCCACATGTGGTTAGCAGAGGTGGAATGTGGGGGGGAACAGCAGCTGGCAGTAAGGAACGGCTCTCACGTAAGGGCCCTGGTACCCCGCCTCTTCTGCATCTTGGGGAGAAGTGATCAAGTGGACCCAGTGAGGGCTACACACATAACACTCCATTAGCCATAAGGCTCCGTGGGTCTCATTTCCTGCTAGCTGACAAGTGGCCCTCCTAAGACTCCCAGGTGGCGTCCCCACCCCCCAGTGCCGGGGAAGATGTTCAAATGACCCAAGTGCCAGGCCCTCAGAGTATCTGCCTGACACCTGCTACTTGCTGGCCTCAGATGGAGGAACTTAGAGAATCCCTCACTGACAGAAGCATGTGACACTCGCAGAAGTTAGGTCTCAGGGTCAAAGTCACTACCTAGTAAGTGGCACAATGGTACTCAACTCCAGGCCTAACATCTTCTCAAGTTCATGTTTTTCCCCTAGACAGTACCACTTCCTGCTAGCAGGCTCCGCACTGAGCCTCTCCTACCACACAGGACCCCATGCCGTTGGTCAGCGGGCAAGGCCACAGGTGCTGTGCACCAAGCAGGGTGTCCAGGCTACTCAGACATCCCCTACCCTCCCTGAGCTGGGGTTCATGTATGCCACAGCAGCAATGTGGCCAATACCACTCACTGAGAAAGTGCTACAATGAACCCTGAGCACCCCTCCCCTGGCCTCCACCCCAGAAAATCACCCAAACAGGGATGCCCGCCCACCACCGGGGTTCCACGGCGCTGATTTTGTTCCCAGCCACCCAGGAAGTCATCAGCACCAGCTTCCACGTCTCGGGAAACTTTTCAAGCCCAAGTGCTATAGGGAAGCCAGGGTCTCACCCTCTGAGGGCTCACCTGCTTTTTGGAGTTTGGTCAGTCTCTGCGGTTGCTCTTGGAGGTCATCTAGGGTCCGCAGACCTTCCTGGTACCACTGGTCAGCAGTTTTTATTCCAACCCCGAAAATCTGAGTGAAGAGCTGTTGCGAGGGTGAGTAAGGTCGGGCTAAGCTCTTAGCACAGATGCTGATACAGACCCTGATTTGCTCCAGGGGCTGCCTCACAGCACAGCTGCTGCATTTCACCAGTGGCCTAAGTCAGAACGTGTCCCCGAGGGCCCACCAGCATCCACACTCACCTTTGCCAAGTTTAAGCAACCTGCCCAAAGCACACAGTGAATATCCCGGCAGGATTCAAACCCCAAGTCTAGCACGCACAACCCACTCTCATGGGGGGGTGAAAGGAGGGGGTGTGTGTGGGGTAGAAACCCAAGATAATTCCCTCCTGGCCTTGATCGACTCCTCTAGAGTCTCCCTTGTAATTCTAACATCACCTGACAAAGAATCTCAATCCACTGGAAAAACCACATCTCTCCCACCTAAGAGCAATTGCAGTTCTTCTTGACAAACAGCAAAAAGCAACGGGCACTTAACAATTACAGGGTTGTTTCAGCAGGAGTTGGAAAGTCTGAAACTGCCGGGGCTCCATCCTGGGCACAAACACAGCAGGTGTCACCACCCAGGCTAGGTGAGTAGACACCCAGGTGAGGGGCAGTCTCGCTGCTGGAGCTACCGCTCACAGGGTGGCTGGCCAATCTCAGAGGGCCTCCCGTACCAGGGAGGGGCTGGCCTGGCCTAACAAGTCACCTGTTTCTTCTCTGACTACACCTCATTGGTCAGGTGTAGACACTTGCCCTCTGCTAGCCACTCAGCACTCCTCTACAGGGACATTTAATTGAAACGGAAAGTCAAGGCTCTTAAGAGTGGCTGGACTACAACACAGCCATGGCTCAGCTGGCAGACAGAGGGCAGGGAGAAGAACAGCTAGCTGGCAGTGCTCTCGTCCCCAGGCCCTGTCTCCTGTAGACCAGGTCAGTCCTTCCTTTTGGGGGCTGTGCTGGCCCATCCTTTCCTCAATCCTTTGAACCAAGAGCATGAACTGGGTCACTATCACCGATAGAACTCTAAAGAAATGTTAAGAATAACTTAATCACATTGTTGATTAAAAAAAAAAACAAAAAACCTCTAATGATTAACCCTGCTCTGTGGCCTGGATGTCTTCTAGGACTCACACCTGGATGTGTCTCAGGAGCGGGCTCAGCCTGTCTCTACCGGGCTCAGTACTTCCCCACTCATGTCCGCCTGCGCCCCACCCCTCGCCCTGCCCCCTCCTTGCTCTCTGCCTACTGGAGCCTCTGCCTCCTCACACAGCTCCTATCCTTCTTTAAAACACTCAGTTGAGGCCCTCCCTGGTGGCACAGCGGGTTAAAGCACAGCACTGAGAATCTAAAGACGCTTCCGCCTGAGTTCAATTCCCGCCTGCCCCAGAGGTGACCACATGGCGTGGCAGACCTCTCCTGACCAGCCCGCTGCTCCCCTCAGCAGTGTACTTCCTCGATCCGCCTGTTCTGCTCCCCACTCTGTCTCTGGTGAAGCCTCTCACCACCCCTGAGCCTCTGGCCTGTACCCCAGTTCTGTATGCACAAATAAATAAATCTTAAAAAAAAAAAACACTCAGTTGACTCTCAACCTTCTAGGCAACCTCTCACAGTACCGATGACACACCCCAACAGGGAGACGCCATTTCCACAACGCATCACTGGTCTGACAACCTCCAACCACAGAACCAGGGTGTCCAAGCAGCACGACCTAGGGGTCACATTCCATGAGATGAAAAGTGCGGAGCAACAGGGAGGGAGCACTGTGGAGACAGGCAGGGCGACACCATAACGGCAGAGACCGTGCAAGGGTGGGGAGACGTGCAAACTTAATCATCCTCCTGGCCCCGAGGGACAGGCCATGCTACGTTTTGTTCAGTATGTTCCACTTACGTGTTTAAGGGGCTAAAATCTATAATATACTTGAGACTATGCCATCAAAACCAATCCAATAAAAAAGGATTAAACGGAGTGATCTAGAAGATCCCACGTCAAAGCAAGCTTCCCCCTGGCCAGTCCCCTTCAGCTGTCTTGTGCTTGTCAGTGCCAGCTGCCACCTCTTCATTAAGACCTTATCTGGCCTCCGAGCTGGTGAGCCCACCTCCCCGCCAGCATATGGCAAGAGTGGTGGGGGCACCCAGGGAGGGCCGCGGGGCTGAGTGCCTCTGCTAGAGTCTGCCAGCTGCACACCTTCAGGGTCCGGTACCGCTCCGACACCTGGACTCTCTCCACCTCTTCACAGACCCCATGTTCTAGCAGCTCCTGTGGGAGAAAACGGCAAAACTCCAGGCCTGCCTGGAGAGATCAGGGCACTGGTGGCCCAGTGACCAGGAGACTGGCAGTACTTGGAAATGCAACTGGGCCCACAGAGGCTACCACAGTGTCTCAAGGCCCTCTGGACCTGGGGGAACACCGACCTCTCTCAGAGGGTAACCAGCACAGGGTAACTACCGCTTTTCAAAATACAGGTGATGAATCAAAGCCTACCTTGGATCCAAGTCTCCTTGACACTATGTATTCTCCCCATGTACATAAAGGAAAACTTAGCACTCTAGGTCCTCACATACATTGTATTAAAAACACACACACACACACACACAAAAAACCCAGCAGGCATTCAAACTTCCTGGCATCAAGGCTTGATGCCAACAATGCCAGTTACCAACCCTGTCAGGGCCCTGGCAGCTCCCCTCCTTGAGTCTTCTTGCCAGCCTGAGGTAGGCAGCTGAGCCCCAACTTATATATGAAGAATCCGAGTGTGGGGAGTGACTTGCCCTGACCTGGGAGCCGGCACCCTCAGTTGTTTATCTCTCTGCCTCTGCAGCTGGGCTCCTCACCATGCTCACAGGTTTCACCCTGCTTCTAGGTGTAGTTAGTACCTACCTGGATGACCCTACAGGAATGTTCTCCAAAGTGAGGTAGCTCCTGCACCTGGCTCAGGGCTGTGACTGGGTAGGGAAGGGCCTTGAGCACGGAGGCAGCTCTGCAAAAGGAGAGGCAGCGGCCCTCACTGCAGTCAAAGCTGGCGGCCTCTGCCAGTGTTTCCAGAGCCTCCTGCAGGGAGCAGTTTGTGGTAAGGGGCAGAGTGGGAGGCCAAAGTAGCCCCAACCTTTAGCTATCACACACCTGTGCCCAACATGGGACAGCAGAATGCTCACAAGAGGGGCCTGCCCCATCAGGGAACCCTCAACTCACCGAAAGGCTGGTATTGTGGTGTGTGAGGGGTGTGGGGCGCTGGCAGGCATATGGCAGCATCCACACTGGGCTTGGTGCTCCCTTCCTGGGCTCAGCCTCCTGGAGAGGGCAATGTACAGGTGGTTTTGCAGGGCCAGCAGGGGAGGGAAGCAACCCCCGAAACCTTTCCTCTCCTGGGCCACTTGGGGAGAGCAGAGGGAACCAACTCAGAGGACACCTGGTCAGAGGCAGGGCTGCCTGCAGAGGGGACAGGAACAGGTTACTCAGGCCACAGCAGACCCCTAGTGCTGCCACCTGCCAGTCCTCCTGGAGCACTTATCCTGCCCCTCCTGAGAACCCTTCAATCCAGTGGGTAAGGAAAGCTTGCCATCCTTGATTCACAGACAAGGTCACCGAGGCCTTAGCTGTTAGGGAGCTTGCCTGATGCCTCATGATTCACAGGCAGCGTCAGGATTTGGATGTGGTTGTGAGTCCAGGCTCCAGTTTGGCTCACTCAGGAAGCAATGAGGTGGGGCAGAGGCAGTGAACCCCACAGCACTCCAAGGACCACCTCCTGTTGGCCCTTGAGCCACCATCTCATTTAGGGGTCAGTTTCATCTATCTGGTGATCAAGAGAGGTCTAATGATATTAAAAAAATAAGTGGGGTTAAGAAACAGCGCCAATGCTGAGAAGCTGGATGGCCTGTTTCCCCAAAGGCCCATGTGGTCCTCATCTGATAATCATCTGAAGGTGGGGGCCCACGGCCACATCACCTATCCCAGATGAGTGACAGCTGCACGGGGGCTTTCTTTGGCCCCAACACAAAATCCTCAGCAGGGCTCACCTCTAGGCGGTGGCGGCCCTCCACAGGTACAGGCTGCCCGGCAGCCATGCTCTCCGTGAACCAGCTTATGTCCAGCAGCGCTGGGCCGATGGTCCCCGGGAGCGCCCTGCCCCGCAGCCAGCAGGCAGCCTCCTCCGCGGAGGTCTGCTCCATCACCACGTGTGTCACCTCCGAGCTGGCAGGAGGGAGAGGGTGAGTCGGAGCCGTTCCAGGCCTGCCGTCCTGCCACTTCCCTCCACAGCGCCCAGTCTTTGCTCTGGCCGTCTCCCCGCGAGGGGCGCGCTGTTCAGCCCCGAAGCCTCCCAGCCCCCCTCGGGGCAGATGCCCGCCACCGTCGTGCACCCCGGTGCCGTGTTTCTCTCTCTAGCCGCCACAGCCCACGACCCAGTGTCCCCCGCGTGTCCCGGTCTCCCCCCAGTCCACCGCAGAGAGGGGAGTTTCCGACCAGGCGCCCCCCGGGAAGCTTCGCCGCGCACCCGTAGGCGTCGAGGACGCGGAAGCCCTTGGAGCGCGCCAGGCGCGACAGGAAGGCGCGGCGGCTGCGGCCCATGCGCCGCTCGGCCAGGTAGATGGCGAGGCCCGGGAAGCGAGGCGCGGGGTCGGCGGCCGAGGGGGCTGCCGTCCCGACGC